ATTGTACGCACTGTATATTATTAAAATTTAAGCATATGTATTACGATCTATATAATTGTAGTTCCTTAGCATGTTGTTATTGCCTTCTGAAGATGGCTGCACAATGACCGAAACATGTACAGGCACTTTGTGAATATATACTGAGTCACACTGGACGGTGCTGTCAAATCGTTTTACAATAATTAACCAGTGTGACGGTCCAGAATGAATAAAGTTAAATTTACCTACTTCGTTTCATCATGTGCTAACATCGAACACTCTCATACACGTATTTTTTTTTTGGTTCCTGGTGTTAGTTGAAACTGAGTCCACTTGGTACGTTGGTCACCGTCTGCCGTAATGTACCAGACCCGGATGATAGATGATGATGATGTGCGTGAAACAATCGGTAGAATGAGAGTTGGAAGAGGAAACCGAAGTCCTCGGAGAAAACCTGCCCCATCGTCACTTCGTCCGCCACAAATCCCACGTGTGCTGTGCTCGAACCCGAGCCGCCGTGGTGGGAAAGTGGTGACTAGCCGCCTAAGCTACGTCACGGCCCTTCTTATTCATGTAACTTTCCTTCGACACGGCCTTCCGAGGCGCATGGTTACACTACCAACACAAGGAAACCTGGGCATTCTAACACCATTTCATTGGTACGGGCAGCAAATTCTCGGATTTTATACAAGGCGGGGAATTTCTTGAGCAGCTGAGAAATATTAAGTTCTCAAGAACGAATATACTCCATGTAGTTTAGTTAGTTAGTTAGTGAGTTAGCTGGTACAGAGCGATGTCGGTAGTGCTATTGACTTCACAGGAATATGTTTGCACATAAATTGCCATAAAAGAATTTCAGCATTTTCAGAAAAATAAAAACGCAAAGAACATATCCCTTTATGAAGGCAATGTTGCCCCAGAACAGGGTAAGATTATTGAACTCACATTAATTAGAATTAATTAAATAATTAATCAATTTTCCTCGTAGTCTTTTACAGTAAATAAACACGAAATAAATTGTAACTTAGTTTCTCACATTGTCAAAAGAATTAGCGAAAAGATTGTATATATGAAATTCTTATAGATAAAAGCTAATCAGATTGACTTNTAAGGCTATGCGGTGTCATAACCCAAACGACAATATGAATCTTCATTGCCGGGAAAACCTCAAATCTCACCTATCCAAAATTATGTCTTTCTCCTTGATATGTTGAATTATATCAAAACTGTTTTTTCTTACTTTTCCTGATGATTTACATATCTTTTGTGGTCAAATAACTGTTTATACAGATTACAGTTATTACATTTTATCTAGATGAATTTCAAATGTACAGTTTGGAATTGTATTTATTAATGGCAACGTGAAAACAGAATACTGTTATAAGATTATAACACCTCATCAGCATACAGAGAACATACACAGATTCTGTGCGCTAGCAAGATTCCTGGCTAACGATGCGTTTCATTAACTAGTTGAAAATACATCTGAAATTCTCTTCCGTAATCAAATTTCGAGATATCATTGTGGCATTATGAGATAAGTTAAGTGTTGTATTATCACTGCGACATACACATTTCCTGAAACAGACAGCATTCTGAGATACTGATGAAAGATATTGGAGACAATTAGAAGTTCGTTATGCCTACGGTTCGTTAGGACACAGCATGATCCATCTAGCATAGCTTGAACCTTGGCGTTAACTCATAACAATGGACACAGTGTTGAAATACAATGCAACTTGAAAAGCGGGTGTGGTACACTTGAATAAGAGCTAAGGTCATGTCTCTTTCTTGATGAAGAGTTTTCAATTCTGTTCTGCACAATGACTTCACTGTTTTGTTGTCCGAAAAATATAGAGTCGACACTGGAGGTCATCGTCACGAGGATGCAGTGTTTTCTCCCGTCACTCCAGTTCACTCTATAGATCACGCACCTCTAAATTGATTCTGAAAATATTTAAAGACATTTTTCTGATGCGGAGGTTTCATAGCTTCAAATAATATGAGAATATGACCGTGAATTGTGAGTAAGCAAAAGCTGGAAGGAAATAATTCGACCTCCTTGACGTTAACATGGCGTTCTCCTGGAGGGGCTTACTGTGTAAGGATCTGAAAGTTCGCAGTCAGGATATATGAAGTTCTCACCAAAACTAGAAACCAGCACTTCTCGAAAACCAACGTGAACCTACCTGCTCGTTAACATGAAGTCGTTCTCAAAGACACCGATAACCACCACGACGAAGAGAGAGTACCTCTAGAATCAGTAATAGATAGAATACACCTGTATGAATATACTATTTCCTATCACACAACGCCCAGGAGTTATATGGGGCCATCTATATATGTGCAGGCCTATTCCACAATTCTATGATTTTTCAGTGCAGATGTATAAGGAGTGGGCCCAGCAACCATTATAAAGCTGTTTTTAAAACCATTACTAAAATCCTAGCTTTAGCTTGGCGTTATTGATGGGAAAAGAAAAGACTAACATTACAAAGAAGGGGTGAACATTCACCAGGGTCTCATGAGTGCCTCAGTGTACTAGAATTCAATCGATAGAACTCTTGCCGCCACTTCCACGCCGTCTCTGGGCTCACCCATGTTCCTATTCAACAGATACTTTGGGGGGGGGGCGTTCTCCTGGGTATAAATCAACAGGAGCGCAACCATTCATCAGTCCACGCATTCTTAGTCTCTGCACTAGATGGCGCCCCATCCGTCTTTGGAAAAAGTGCCCCTGATGCCTATTGGATAGGGGCGGAGTGGGCCCCGGAACTGGTCTGGGCACCTTGGTAAAGAGAAAACCCCCTACCCACGTTGTTAACCAAACTCCGACCGATCAGCCCATAGCCTAGTCACTGTGCTGACTGAGCTTTGCTGAGAATGGGGAATTCGCATATTCTTTATCAATGCGGTTATGGAGCAGAGACTCACCATGCCTCCACAGAGGGCGACCGCTGCGCGGTGTCCCACGTCACTGCGGTAGAAGCAGCTCTGTTCCGCGAGATGAGGGGACAGCATCTCTGTGTGGTTGCTCCAGCGGCGGAGTAGCACGAACTGCGGGTCCAGGAGAGCTGGACTGGGACGAAATTGCAGTTCGAACCGACGCCCCAGCGATTGAGCCTCGAAAACCACTGGCATGACGGACGTCTCGTCCGGTAGAGCCCATCTCTTGCCACGCTTGCTGGGAAGTCGCGGTCTCACCACTGCGAATTCTGGTGCTGGAAATGGGGAAAGTCAGCGTTGTCATGCATTCTCAATAGAGTTCATGTTGAAAGATATGAAGATTGGTTTAATACTAAGCTAAGTAATGGGGGGAGATGTGAAATGGCTACACATTTTGGTGGGGACCCCTTCTGGAAATGGCCACTTGCAAGGACAGTTACGGAATGAGAGTACATATTTAAATTCATCTTCAGAAAATAAAGTGGGTATGGATTTTTATTTAATTGTTTCAGGACTGTGTTCATGAAAAGATTTCATAGGAATACTGCGATGTATATAGATAAAAGTCAAACCTATCCTTGCAATAGGCCGTGGACGCCCACTGGGTTGTGGGACGTCGAGCCTCCCATATTTTCTAGACAGTCGGCTCACAGATGACTACGCTCCGGCCACCTTTTATCCCCAGGAATATTCCTAATACTCATTTCTTTTAGAAGCTGAGTCGATTCTAGGTCCATAGTGCGGCCGGAAGGGTTAGTTCAACTGAAAATCCAATGACTTCATCGCGAATGGAACCCGTGACCTGCTGGGTTGTAGCATAGTGCCTCAACCAACTACGCTACCGCGTGCTCCCATACTGAGATGTATAGTTTTATTAATAGGAGAGTTATATAAGTTGTATACTATTTATCATCGCTGCAGCAAATGAAGAATATATTTATGGTTGGATGAGACGCGAGTATAGTTATGTGTGATGAACTGGAAAAGACGGGAAACCAAATGGACATGTTCTGTTTGAAGGCGGTCTCACAACATTCATTTGGTGGTTGAAGAAATCCACGAAAGCCAAGAAAGCTGGCATCCTGACTGAGGATTCTAGGGGTGCAAGTCACGAGCGATAGGAACAAATCTTTACGTTCTGGAGATACGGTCTCTTTCACAATTTGAATAGCTCGCTTTCCATGATCAGATTATGCAACAACATTATTTATCTAACAAAAAAATCCTCGTTTTATAAACAGGAAGTTGTTCGTTGAGAAAAAATACATTAGCCAAAAATTAATTTATATTTAATAGAAAGACAGTAAATAATTGTAAGTGCGACGACGTTAAAAAAATATATATATGCCTATAAATAATGGTTAAGGACAATAAATTTAGAGTAGACATACACATAGGTATTTTAATCAGAAATCCAGTACAGGTATGAAGTTTCTTATTCCGTGAAGATAGAAAGGGCCGGTCACGGTAGCCAAGCGGTCTAACCCATGTACTGTCTTCGCTCACTCGGAAATCGGGAGCGTGGGTTCGAATCCCACACAAAACATGGATGTTTGGTATGTATATGTGTTTGTGTTGTCCTGTGTTTAGGTAGAGGCATTGCGACGAGCTGACCACTCGTCCAAGGAGTCCTACCGTCTGTAAAATAATCAAAATGAAAAAACAAACCTCGACACAGTAAGGTATAAGAGGAACGGATTAAGTTTTTTTATTACAATTGGGGTGGGACTAAGTCCCTTGTACTGTGGCCACTTCTGGCCTATTGTACCAGCCCCAGATGATAGGTGAGGGAGATTGTGGAGCAATTGGTGGAATGAAGATTGGCAGGGGAAACCGAAGTACTCGGAGAAAACCTGCCCCAGCGCCACTTTGTCCACCACAAATCCCACTTGACCAGACCCGGGATTGAACCCGGGCCGCCGCTGTGGGAAGCCAGCGACCAACCGCTTGAGCTATGGCGCTGCCAACGGATTAAGTAAGTGTAAGAATATAGAAAGTGAAGATACTGGGGAAAAATTAGTTTGAAGAGTTGTGCCGACTGAAACAAAATACAATATAAAAAGGAGCAAAAAAGTACAAACAAAATTAAACCAGCGCTATACATGTGGATTAACATAGAATTAGATACAATGAGGTTGCTAGTACTGACAACATACACGCAATTCGAGGTTTTTTGTCTTAGCGATAATTCGTTACTCACGGTGAAGGGATATTAACCCTTTTAAATTAATTAACGTCAGATTCGTTATTTGAACGTTCGTTTTTGAATTAATAATATCTTATTTTATATTTTATAGAAATTAGAAGTATACATATATATAGGCCTAGATGTAGCAACTTAAATTCTTCCCCCCACACACACTCAAACACACAGATAAACATATATGAACAAAAGACTCTTGTCATAAAATATTGGTTTGACCGCGCCCTCTAGAATTGTCTTGCAACTTTCTCCTTCACACCCAGCCGTTCTTTATAAGTTCGAAATTAATAACATGCCACATATATAGGTCCACAACTGAGTGGAAGTTCTTGCAGATATATACGAGTACAGGCTGTCTATTACTACCTTTAAAGAAAAGGTGTGATACGAATATGAATTTGGATATGAAATCTTTATTAATACCTTCTTTGTTTATCCGAGACCTTGACTGTCGCGAATAAGGTCAGTGCAGCTGGGTCGGCAATAGATTCAGTAATCAATCAAGAAGCCGTAAATTATCACCAGTTTAAAACGATGGTCACACTTAACAAGATAAGATGATATAGAAACCGAGCGTCTGCCAATATTCCTTTACCATTGACGCCGCATTGAACATTTTCATTAAGGACACGAAGCACGGAAATGCAAACAGAAATGTCAAGATACGCTGATATTGGCCCATGTTTGATGCAGTCAGTTTTCTCATTTACGCACTGCATTTAATAAACAGCTGTTCGAGGGTTGCATTTCCCCTAAAGCAGAAAGATACAACTAATATCCTGAAGACGTGAGTGGAGTCTGCTCTCGAATTATCCTACAACTTATATCAAATGTAACGGTGAGAGGCCTCCACGTAATAGTACTTATATACTAAATCAGATCTTCAGGAAGCCATCCACTCTCTAGATCGCACAAACAACAAAGATTTCAAATTTGAGCAAATCCTAACAGAGACTGCCTGAAATCTATCTATCTGTCTGTCTACTTGTCTGTCTATCTATCTATATGTTTACTTGTCTGTCTATCTATCTATCTGTCTGTCTACTTGTCTTTCTATCTATCTATCTGTCCACTTGTCTGTCTATCTATATGTTTACTTGTCTGTCTGTCTATCTATCTATCTGTCTGTCTACTTCTCTTTCTATCTGTCTATCTGTCTACTTGTCTGTCTATCTATCTGTCTACTTGTCTGTTTATCTATCTATCTGTCTGTCTGTCTACTTGTCTGTCTACCTATCTATCTGTCTACTTGTCTGTCTATCTATCTATCTGTCTACTTGTCTGTTTATCTATCTATCTGTCTGTCTGTCTACTTGTCTGTCTACCTATCTATCTGTTTACTTGTTTGTCTATCCATGTATCTGTCTGTCTACTTCTCTGTCTATCTATCTGTCTACTTGTCTGTCTATCTATCTATGATTCTACAGCCCTTTTTTTGGACCTTGGACTCTTTTTCAGCCCGCCGCAAGGCCGCTACCTACACAGCGAACAACACAAACACAGAGTAAACGCACAGAGACATAATTGCCTCAAATGGGATTCGAACCCATGATCCCAGCGTTCGAGCGAGCGAAGACAGTTCATGCCTTAGACCTCGCGGCGACTGTGATCCACATTACCTGAAATCACCATCCAAATTTCCATTATACACCTATATACCGTGACTTATTGCTCATAGCTCCTGTTTGCTTGAATATCGGGTCGACGTATGGTGAAACAAATTCTTGATAAACTGTTTACTAACAATAGTTATTTTTATGAATTTGCGGCTTTTCTAACAACGCTATCAGGCTCTAATTATTTCACGTCAAATTTTGGAATGAAGGATTAATATTAAATTGGAAATTGTATGCAAGGAATTGGTCATAGCCTAATTAAAGCACTGTCCCAGTATTTGCCTGGAGAGACTGAGGACCATTACAAATAAATCTCAATGAGGATTATCGATATCCCGTCCGACATTCGAACCACACACCTCCACAATATTAGTGAGAAGGGTTACGGTCTGAGCCAACTTGCTCGAACTAATTAAGCACTTGGATTCTTTCGCAGGGTTGTTATGAAATTGGAATATTTCCGTAGGATGTGAGCCCCTGCACAACGTTCTTCCAATTAGGAAGCCGACCCTCTCTGCACATTCTAATAACTTCATAATTTATGGAACTAATTACAGAAACTTAAGTTCATACAACTACACAAAATCCTTTCTAATTCGAGCAGCAACTATCCATAACATTACATAAGAAATCATGTCTAAACGAAGGAAGATCTCTTCATTAGCCTTTCCTTTAACACTCATATTCCATTAATACGAAGGAGAGTCAGTAAATAGATCACAAATGAATATAAAACGCAAAACATGTGATATTGGAACCTGGAAAAAGAAATTATTTCTTGATATATCTCCCACCAACATTGATACACTTGTCCCATCGCTTTACCAGTGCGTCGAAACGCACAGCATAGAAGTCTTTTTTGACTACTGTCTCAGCCACTTCCGCACATCCGTTTCAACCTCTTCGTCATCAGCGAAACGTTTTCCACCCAGCTGTGAACCGTTTTCCCCACAGGCACTTACCACCGTAAACAGGAAACATTTCCTTATGAATATTCTTTGCACTGAGTCCTTTTGTCCACAAAAGCTTACAACAAAACGCTGCTCTTCAGTAGGTCATCCCTCAAACACGGTCACCATTTTGATTACTGAAACCTGCCTCTGAACATGCACATGCGCGTCTGCTACACTCTCATGAAGGTTGACTGTGCTGATACCCAGTGAAACACACAGAAACCCTATTATGTCCATTACAGCTGTTTTACTTCCATTTGTGTCCTATTTACTGACTCTCCCTTGTATTTCATTCGTCGCCACTGGATAATAAATGTTTGATATGTAACCTTCATTGAATTCTTCACAGAGTTTAGAGCTAACAATTATTATTTCGTAATTTACATTTCTGATAACGAAGGCGTGACAGCTCCTGATGCCCTCAGAATTGGCCTTCGGTAGGAGGAGAGGGTGGAATATATCGTGAAAGGGTGGAATTCTTACAGCGCGTCCAGGACTGCAGAAACGGAGCTGCTTTCGTGCCATTATCTCCCTCTAACGCTAGAACATGTGGGGCGTACTTAGCTCACATCCGCCTGTCAAAACTTCCAGAGTGAAACTCGTTAATTTAGAGGTTTGTTAAGAATAGAGATGTAGGTTAAGGCTGTATTTCTTTCACGTTCGTATTTTTGTTTCCCTATTCACGGGGAACAATTAAAGGGAGTTTAAGACATTTCTTATTGGTATATTAAAGAGAAGTAACTTGTACTCTTCTCCAAGTATAATTAGAATGATCAAGTCATGGAGGATGAGGTGGGCAGGGCATGTAGCACGAATGGGGGAGAAGAGGAAAGCATGAAGGATATTGGTAGGAAATCCATAAGGAAAGAGACCGCTGAGAAGACCAAGGCGTAGGTAGGTGGACAATATCAAAATGGATCTTAGAGAGGTAGGATGGGATGGTACGGATTGGATTGATCTGGCTCATGATAGGGACCAGTTGAGGACTCTTGTGAACATGGCAATTAACCTTAGGGTTCCATAAAATGCTGAGAAAATCTTGAGTAGCTGTAGATCTGGCGGAACCTCAAGAAGGGCTCAGCTCCATAAGTAAGTAAGTAAGTATATAAATGTGACGCGCGCTCTAGAATATTAAATAATTATTCCCTTCATTTTTCTGGTTCATTGCATCTCAATTCGTTTATTATTATTATTATCAATTTCTGAAGAATTGTTTCGTTGGCCAATGATGTTTTTCAAAGATGTTTCTCTTTACGCCGGTCACGGTAGCCGAGAGGTCTAAGGCATATACTGTCTTCGCTCGCTCAGAATCCGGGATCGTGGGTTCGAATCCCACACAAAGCATGGATGTTTGGTATGTGTATGTGTTGGCCGCACCATAGCTCAAGCGGTTAGTTGCTGGCTTCCCACCGCGGCGGCCCGGGTTCGATCCTGGGTCTGGTAAAGTGGGATTTGTGGTGGACAAAGTGGTGCTGGGGCAGGTTTTCTCCGAGTACTTCAGTTTACCCTGCCAATCTTCATTCCACCAATTGCTGCACAATTACCCTCACCTGTCATCTGGGGCTGGTACAATAGGCCAGAAGTGGCCGCAGTACAAGGGACTTAGTCCCACCTCACTAGCAACAAAAGAAATGTGTGTGAGTTTGTCCTGTTTGTGTTGTCGTATGTCTAGTTAGAGGCCTTGCGACGAGCTGCTCCTCGCCCAAAGAGTCTTACCGTCTCTAAAGTGATAAAATGAAAAACAACTTCAACGCCGTAAAGGTATAAGAGGAACCGATGAAGTAAGTAAGTTTCTGTTTACTTGATTAGTAAAACGTACTCGCTGGAACCTGGTTCTTATGCTGTTGCTATGGTAACTCTCGTTCCGTTGTCTAGTAACATGACTACTACATGTTATGATTAGTTTGCAGCGTTTAATGTGCTCCATGATCTTTCAAGATTTTACTACACACAATACAATATTAGTAGTAGTTTAACTAGGCATAACATTTCGAGCTCGTTTTAAGTGAAAGTACACAGATTTAAATCGTTCTAAGACAAAGGGAAAAGTTAATAGAGGAGAGAATGTAACTGGTAAAAAATAAAGATAGCATCATCTCATGCAGAACAGCACATTCCTAATTGGTGTATTTTGTCGTGATTTTAAAACATGAACATGTCTTCTTCTTCTGTACAGTCCACATGAAAATATTATATTCCGTAACGCCTGCCTGAACACCGTTGCTGTTATGGCGAGAATAATTACATGATTTTCTGTTACGTTGTGTGGGCTTCTGTAGCGATTTGTGGTTTAGTTCACTGTAACATCCGTAGCAATGCACTGACAATGGTTTAGGTTACATATGTAATTGGACGAATGGTGTTGCGTGTCACAGCAATTATAATATTACACCTACAGCAAATGAGCAAATAAAATTTAATTTAAGAGAAGGCGGACCTGGTGTACCGTAATGTGGTCGTGAGCAAAGAAGCGTAAACGGAAATTTGTCACAGCATCCATTTAAACAAGTATGTAACGTGTATTATAATTAAGAAGTAACCGGAAATAAATTGATTTTGTTTGAAAAGTCGATTTGTAGTAATTATGCGTGTCATGTTTAGATCTGTTCATAAAGTCTCATATAAAACGTTCTGTAAAAATAAAATGATTAGAGACACGTCAACATGTGAAGCTCTCTGCAGCTCTCTGGAGAGAAACATTATTACTAGTAACTTAGTGAGTTATTAAGCACAAAACGTGATGGATGCGGCATGTTAGAACGACAAAATTAAATGAATTCATACCATACTCGCAACTCTCTTCACTCAAGAACACTGTGCGACAGTATGCAAATTTGAGAGTCGCATATCCTGACTGAACTTTATAGAATATTTCTTCCATTCGAGGCAAGTATAGATTAAATAAAAATTTGTGACAAAATTTTTAACACAAAAAAGGAATAAAGCTATGATGAGAGTAGGGCTTTTATTCATTGCAATATCATTTGGATTGACGTAGGACAGCAAACCAAGTAACAGATTAAAATCCCATCTTCTTACCGGTAGCGGAAGTCCCCAGAAGTGATGTCCACTCGGCTGCCGTGAGCAGATCGCGTAAATTGGCCTCGTTTACCTGCAAATAAATGAACTGTAAGTATGGCTATATGCTCACTGTCTCGTCATAACAACAACTTGACATAAACTTAATAAAATATGTACCTAAAGAGAGGTAGGTAAAACAAATCCTTCGAAAACATAGCAATTAGTAAGGTTCATGACCGTGATAACGACATTGACAAAACAAAAGTATCTTCACGAGAAAGCTAAGAATGTATACATAATCAGTGCGGGGTATGTGGACTATCAATCAGTTCATAATTTTCTGTATTCCCATCTGCTCTATGGCAACGAAACATTAAAATATAGACCACTTATCATTTCACCTATTGTATTACATTTGTATGAAAATTAATCTCCTACTTTGAAGTAGGAACATATATTGATGATGTTTGAGAACAGAGTACTGAGGAAGTAACATAAGTTTGAGGGCAGCTGCATAATGGGCACCTTCATGAATTTTACCCTTCACCACATATTGCTAGAGCAATGGTGGCCATGAATGCTAAGTAGAAAGACTTGGGAAGAGGTGTTTATAATTTAAATTTGATTGAAATTTTGTTCTGATGTAGGCAGTAATGTTTGGGCTATAGCTACTGCTTAATAAACTTCCTTATGACAGATCATTACATCCAGGGCTAATACGGTGCTCTTAAAAAGATACAAGTTAATTATCTGTTAAGTAATATGATTGCAAACGCTCTGGTATGACGGACAGGTGTGTACCAGATTCAAAACGAGGCTGCAATTGCACAGAGATGGGATTGCTTGGAAACGCCGCTTTGATTCTGCCTGAACTTTTCTTGTACACAACAAACCTTCAGGTCAGCATTCTAACAAGCATTTCCGTTAACCGATCCACGGAACTCAGAGTCTCAACATTGACAGGACAATCAAGTCAGAATGGACAGACAACAGAAGGAACTGCTTAAGAATTACAAGATTTGACAGACTCTATGGGCCTGCACAGAGAATATTTATACATTATGCATGAAGTTCTGGGAAGAACTAAACTCTTGCTTTCCTTCGATACGTCACTAACCGAATATAAAAAGACGAGCCTAACAGTTCTTCTATTGTTGCATTTATATTCATTGACTTCATAACGTTTTTACCTAGCCGTTGCCTAGCAAGGGTAGGGTATATACTTAGACACACAGACTTATGGGAGCGATTTATGAAGTACGCCGTTTAAATGGGCTCAGGGGCCATGGATATATACGAAGTTTCATAAAAATTGGTTCAAACATTCAAAAGTTAATGAAAGGGGAGGGGTGATTCACAGATACGGAGACAGCATGGTGATCTCACAAGCTGACTTTCATTTTTTAATAATAAGGAAGTAGGCTAAAAAAACAATTAAATTTGATAAAGCAAAGGTCCGCCTGGCACCTTATATCCATATATGGATACGAAACTTGGGTGCAAAGAGAAGGCAATGAAAGAAATCACGAACAACAGAAATGAAACTGTTCAGAGCAGTGTCTGGATGCATACAAGTGGTGACATTAGTATAAAAGGTTAAAACGAAACGACAGAAGAAGGTGATTGGGACGGCTAAGGACAAGATACAGAGATCGATTGAATTGGTTCCTTAACCTACTACGTGAAGGAGAAGAAGTAGAGGAGGGGGAGGGGGTACTATGAGCTAACTTCAGCGATCAAAGTCTCTAAATCTTGATTGACTTGTATACTGATTTCGTTAAATAATAGGACCTGTTACAGCTTTCCTTCATTAGCGCCAAGACCTTGGCCCCTTCTAATCGTGGAGACGTGCCGCTTTACGTAAGGCTGCTACGTATCCAGACAATGTGAAAGTTGGGTTAGTACAGACTTTTTAGACGTATCTCTCGTCCTCCTTACCTTTCAGTCAAGCAATCTTACTCCACCGACACGCTGATATCATATTAATCTTTGCTAAGTTACCTACCAGTCACCTAAAATTGAAGCTCTTTCATATTAACGTCGTTCCTGTCTGTCTATATATATGTTATGTAGGGCATGCAGTTATTTTAATTAAAATTTATTAATTATAAATTTTCTATAATCATCTTTAACGGGCCTCATTTATTTGTTTCAATGCATGATTATTTTTAATTCCAAAACCACGCATAAACCATTCAATAAATCATAATCCGGAAATCATAAAATAAACCCGTACGTTACATATTAATTGTCTTGACATGGCATTATTAACCTTAATGAATAATGAACAATGTACTCTTCCATTTTATTTCTTTCAAATTCCCTCCCCCCCTTTTGCTTCCCTTTCACTATACCTCCAACCGGTTTCTTTTGCTTTCCTTTTATTGCTTTCTTCTTTCTTTTATTCTGCATACCAAAATTTTAATTTATGAGGTTTCTAAAGAAATATTAGGTAAGTAATAACAATAAGTTACACCTCGGAATCTTCTATAAGAAATAAATTCATTGTCTTTGCGTTTAGAGCTAAGTGTGTACTAGATTAGTGTCAATGTCACAGTCAGGGAGGCATCTGGAAGACTGAAGTTACTCGATCGATCAACTGCGTCAATGTGGAGTTTTGTCGGAATTTTCAGAGACTGTCTCTGCTTCCATTGTCACAGATTTGTCTCATCACATTGACTCTGATGACAGAGACAGAGGTAGGCTCTGAAACGTCGGACCGCAACTGCACGCTGATACGGCTGATCGCACGAGAACACTTCATTGTACATTGTCGACGTGAAAGCTACAAATTTTCTACTGAAGTTACTGCTAAGTTCGTACCAAGCGCCATTCTTCATAGCCAGCTTGCCCTTTTTATGCCGAAAGAAAGCCTACGGTGTTATTTCAGTTCGTCTTCCCCCCCCCCCCGCCCCAAATATTTGAAACAATTAGATAAAGTGATAAAGCTCCTGGTACGTAGTCATGAGATGCGTAGTTCGAACTTCGGCCGCAACATCGACTATGCTGCCCAAGGCTTTTCGTTGTGTTCCTCAGTCTCTCCAGACGAATGTAGGGGCAATAATTCAAGCATGCCATAGCAGTTTCCTTTCATATCCTTTCCAGTTCATCATTTATTAATGAACCTACCATTCGAAATTAAGATAAACCTATTCCTGTAATAGGCCATTAAGGCCCGTAGGTTTGTGAGACGTCGAGGCTCCCACATTTTCTAGACAGTCAGCTCACAGATTGCGATGAGATTGTCAGCCTTAAGCGCCGGCCGGCCGCCCTTTACCCCCATGAAAATTGTTGGTACTCATATCTCTTAGAGGCTGAGCCAACAACAGGTCCATAGTGCGGCTGGAAGAATTAGGTCAAATGAAAAAAATCCAATGACCTCATCGGGAATCGAACCCCCGACCTTCCAGCTTGTAGCCTAGTGCCTCGACCAACTACACTACCGGGTGCCCGGCTAGGGTAGTCGGTATGGCGACTGGCTACGGGCTGGACGACCAAGAGGCGGAATTCGAGTCCCGGTGGGAGCAAAAATTTTCACTTCTCCATGCCGTCCAGACCGGATCTGGGGTCCACCCAGCTTCCTATCCAATGGGTACCTGGGGCTTCTTACCTGGGTGCAAAACGGCCGGGACGTGAAGCTGACCACTCACCTCCAACTAGTGCCAAGGTCAAGAAAACGTGGATCTATATATCCACCCCCACCCCCATACGTGTACGGCTTTAGGGCGTAGTGCTCAGTTTGTTGAGAACATGGTTAATTTCACCTTTTTATTTCATCATTCGACATATTGACTGAGACACTGAATTCGTCGCTAAATACACCATGAAATAGAGGCAAATGTGAAACTGTAAAAAGGAATAATTTCCTGTACTTAAGCACCACTCAGTGAAGAGGTAGGGAGAGTGAGAGAGAAAAGTGAAACATAAGTTGCAGAGATAAATTAAACAAAACTTTTCAAGTTCATTATACTTCTTCAGCAAGTCTTGCGATTTTGGATGTACGTAGGGAACTCGTCGGAATTGTTACGCTATGCATACCTTTCCTAACTTGTTTATACTGTCACGTGATTGAGTGAATATGTACGAGGTTTGGATTGGTAATTGAGTTTATTGAACTCTTACATATCCATGACTACAAGTAATTATATCCGTTTCACTAATTCACACACCTTACAAGTCATTATAACGCACACTTTTAAGTATTTTCAGACTGCTGCCTCTTCACCAGTCTTCTGGTAACGCTTTCCAATGGCGGACGTTCCCCTTTCTCTGGGTTTCCGAACTGTCCCCGCCCTCAACTACAGCAACTTTCGACTAATCAACTAATTGACTCACTCACTAACCAACTACTCTTCACTAAGTTCAACTTAACTGTCTCTTACTAACAAACCGCCCTGCTTATATCATCTAGACACCGACCGCATAGAAAACACCGTTCCTCTGTTTCTGTATACTAGCCGTTGTCTAGTTTCTTCTCGGTCGTTGCCTAGCAACGTGTCTACATGCCACAATACTCAAATTCTATATTATCTTCTGACAGATTTGTCTTGGGGAGAACTAACACACACCCTGCGTCCTGCCCAGCTGCAGTCTTGTGTTATCTGTCATTTTAAATAAAAAAGCCGATACTCGTAAGGATGAAATTGTAAGTTAAATAGTTGTTCGAAGTTCAAACTTGGGTTTGTATGGATAGAAGATATTTTATTTTTTTAGAGAGGAAATTTTTTTAAACATCGTGCCGAAATTGGATTCGGCCTGATCATGTCAATGTTTGGAAGGAAAGAGGCAGAGGTACAACCCCTAAGTTCCACCCCTCCTTATCAAGCGCGAGTACTGAATGTGGAAATATCGCATTCGATAGTCAGTTTGTCGTGCCTTACTCTCGGTACCGGTGTAACATGGCGCAGCCTGGGCCGATGCGGTATCACGGTAATATTATCGGATGTTTTGAATTTCCTATGTAAACTGAGACACAAGATTCCATTATGTTACGATCTCGGTTTAAAACGATTTGCCTAGATGAATTGTAATATCATATCTGTTCTCCATTTCACAGATGTTGATAACTTTCCTCGTTTGGCTCCTCAATAT